ATGCAGCTACTTTTCCTTTTGATGTTTATGAGGGGTTCCAGAAAAGGCAGGAGACAGTTGTGGCAGCACGTGATCTTGAGGATGCCTACAATAGAGTCAGATATGATATTTTGATATATGCACTCATGGAGAAGGGCGTTTGTCCCTGGCTTGTGTACTGGATAGCAGCTGTCCTGCATTCACATCTGGTTGCCCTTAGCCTGGGTAATGACGAACCATGTAATATAGCCCCGGGACTACCCCAAGGTTCTGCAATTTCACCAGTGCTCTTCAAAGTGTATAAATGCAAGATAGCAGAACTTGAAGCACCAGGTGTTGGAAGGATATTGACATTTACCGATCTTGTTCTTGCATATAGGCAGGGAAGAGATGGGCGACGGATAGCCCAGAAGCTGCAGGCGACTGTAGACAAAGTGACTGACTCGTGTGCAGAAATGGGAGCTGTCATCAACTCAAAAACCTCCGTTTCGTGGTGCTCTCTGGACAATAGAATTGTAGGAGCTAATTTTCCAAGCCTCACAATTAATAACAGTATTATAAAAAAAATGCACCATGAGGTACTTGCGTATCACTTTCTACAGAAGCCTGTCCTTTAGGGATCACGTGGAGGCAGTTACGGTTAAATGCCCAAAACCACCCATTGCTCTCAAGATTAGGACAGCAATCGACATGAAACAAAGAATGTTGTTCACAATGTTTCAGGATGTGATCCTGACAGTGATTGGTTATAGACTTATAATGCTTACCATATCAAAGAGTCAGCTGATGAAAGTTGAGCTCATACAGAATGAAGCCATGCGGGTATTTCTAGGGTGTACAAGAGATACCCTGGTAGTATGTTTGCAATATATACTTGCACTACCTACTATTACAGTTTTGCAAACAAATTTATATTTCAGAGTAGCTGCAGACAAGAAGCACTTCCTGCATGAAGCCCTGGGTAGAGCTAAGGGTCACAGACTGAAAAGAGGAAGGTCTTGGATGGCGCAAGCAGAAGACACAATTGGGCATGTATGCAGGCTTGATAAATTTAGACGAGGAGATGAGTGGGTCAGCGTGTCAGAGCAAGTTTAAGACTTGTGGTCATGAATGGAGGGACAGGCCAGCTGGTGCAGAGGTTCAACAAATGATTAATGAAAATTCTCCCTCAAGTGATGTAATTATCTGTACAGATGGCTCTCTTAAGAGGCAGATGGGGTGTTCATAGCAGAAGCGAATGGACGTCGCTTAGTGCAACAAAGCCTTGCATATGATATCATAACGTCTAGTTTGATAAGGGAGGTAGAGACAGTCATTTCTGCCTTCCGTTGGCTTCGAAAATCAGCTGTACACACATGCCCTGATTGTAACTGACCTGCAGAGCATGTTGAGAAAGGTAGAGACGGGCATGCTGCGTGCAGAGTGGCAAGCTTAAATTCAGAGGTCCCGGTAGTTAGCGTCTTTTGTATATTTTATCCAGGTATTAATGCCGGTATGTTGGGAAATGATCAGGCTGACAGACTGGCCGGTTCTATACCACTAGGTGGTTTGTTAATGTATGACAAGCTAGATATTTTAAGGGCCCTTTGGGAGCGAGTGACCTGTGCGGAGGCGCTGATATATCATTACGGTCTGAGGAGAATGGCGCTACGATGCAGACGCTCAACAATACTCAGGGGAATAGCGAGACGGATGTACAATCAGACAGTTACTGTGCCATCGGAACTGGAACTCTTCGCTTGTTGCTGAAGATAAGGACGGAGCGCTCATTGGAGGGCAAGGATGTCGATTCCTAATTCAACATTCTTCTTTACCAAAACATATCACGATTAGAATTAGTTTATCTGACCAAATAACATGGGATGAACCCAATCTCCTAGACACGACAATCGGATAAATATCACAATTTTTTTAGAATTTACTTGGAAAGGAAGACGACTAAGGCAAGACCCAGCTACCATAAATAAGATATGTGGTCTACACTAAATTGTAACTCAGTACTTCATACATAAGGACAGTGTTTGCTATGGGACGATAGCAATGTGTTCATGTGGCCTTTATTAGATTATCAAACTTTCGTGCGACCACACACCAACTCAACAAAGAGATTCTGTGTCAATGCTGTTCGTGGCCTTTGTTTAGCCCACACACCGAGCATAGTGCCGAGATCAATTTGATTCTGTGCTCTTGAATTACGTGTAATGTGTCTTGTCTGGTCACTGCAGTTTATGATCGCTAGCCTGTCTGTTCAACCTGTTAGAATTTTTTTTTTTTTAATGGGAAAATATCCTAAACTTTCCAGAATGACCCTGTTTTAGTATCTCACAGGAACTGAGAGTGACATAATTCCTTGTGTTTTCTGGGCTTCATGAGGTTTCTTTTATGTGGGGCGCCAAAAATTCCCCCACCTCTTTTTTTCTATCGCCCAGAGTCGCGGACTCATAGAAAACAATAAAGGGAGTGGATAAGACTGGGCGCTCAGTCTACTTATAAATGTTCTATATGGGGGAGGGGAAAGGGG